GATGGTGTGGGGGGGAGGGGGAAGGGTGGTGGAATTTTAAAACACTGACAGAGTCACATCAGGGGAATATAAATAACACTTGGAAAGATATCAGTGGGCTGTTAGAAAGGGAGCTAGGAAGTTCTCTGAATGTTTCATGTGTCTTTCACAACTCTACCTTTGTATACTCACCTGAGTTGGGGTGGCTGAACAGATATAATTTAGAGTATTTTAATCATAACCTAGAGATAACTGCTAAAGATTCCAACAGAATCTCAGAAGAATGCTGCACTATATAAAACTTGTTTCACTGTAAACAAAATCTTAAATTACAATTTTGTATAAGGTTACCAAAAATAAAACCTTTTTTTGTTGTCGTTTTGAAGTTTTCCTTGTAAAATATTTCCTCAGAGAGGCGAAGGGTTTAAGCAATTTAGTTCCATGAAAAAAACACAATAATATTATAAAGTTTCACTCTACTTAAGCTGTTTCAGATGCATCGTTTTGGTTTTTAAAAATCTTCTATGGTGACTTCCAGGATTTCAAGCAGGATTGACAAAGTCTTAAGATAAACAATTACAAAGCAGAGCGAGATTTCTTTCTGAAGCTATGAAATGATCGGCTGGGGTCAGAGATGTGTGTTCAGGGGGACAAAGCTCTCCACAGAAACCCTCACACACATGATTAGGAGGATCAATTTACCACAGGACAATCTGGAGGGTTGGCCAGAAGCCCCATAAATTCCACAGTGGGAACACTCGATGCTTTTCCAAAAGAACAGAATCTACACTTTTCAAAAGAACAGGCGATTCAATTCACATTTTGGCCTCTGCAGTTCTCACTCAAGAGCTCTTAATAGTAAAGCCCTAGATGCAGGAAAGAGCACAAGAGTACTCGATCCCTGGCTTTGTTCTACTCTCACAAAGTCAATGTCAGGACAAGGCCCAGCATCCTGATGGGGGCCAAGAGTCACCAGGTCCAGTCAGTGCCTTTGACTCCTAAGTCTCCACAGCCTCTGTGACCAGGGAGGTCCTCCTTTGCTCTTCAGAGCTCCAGCCAAGGGAGACTCAACAGCAATCACAACAGGGTGGGGAGGATGGGCGGGAAAACAAAGACTCTCCCAGCAGTCTGCGCCATTCCTCAGGAACCTTTTATGCAAACCAGCATACACTGGAACATTTGCAGAGCATCCTATTTCTGTAAACCTAATAATATTTTTAAACATGCTTCAGGAGGAGATTTCACGGAAGAGGTCTGTGTGGAATCTTTCTGTAAAGGGAAAATTGTGCTGCTATTCAAAAAAATCATTTTTTATTTAATTGTCTCAAAAATTCCTGGTTTTCTTACATATACTGGACAGAGAAAGAATGTGTGGCATAAAGTTGTTTATCTCAGGGCCAAGCTCAAGAAGACAAATGATACATATGCGCCATAATGCCTCACAAGGAATCCTTGCACATCTCACTCTGGTCACACCAGGTATCAGGAACATCGAGCTGGAACCAAGGGCTTAAAAAATACATCCCAGGTGACTTACCTGAAACATTGGATAGGTCAAGAATGTTTCCAGCATCCTCCCCTCACAGGCAGGGTTGGCTTCATACTGTTTTAAGAGTTTGTCAAAATCTCTGTTTTGCTTACAATTGGCAAGCACCTGGAGGCTGTACTGGTGGTTACGCACAAATTCTTGATAAATGTTCAGCATGGGGAGCAAAATATCAAACAGATCAGCTGGAAAGAAGAAGTAAACATGGCAGTTTCTTTTGGTGCTAGGTAATTTATCTAAGGAATGAGGGGAGGAGGGGACTGACTGTGTTCACTCAATGGGAGTGGCCAAGAGTGGCTCCCAGCACCAGGTGTCACGCATGTGTGAGGCCAATTCTGATGCCTGAAGGACTGATCTGATACAATGCGCCCCCACTCCCAGGGCAGAGCCTGACGATAACCCTAAATAACTATGACAGGTCAGGAGAAAGGTAACTATTAAGGCAAGGCCTGAAGGCCAATGAGGCAAATTTCCAATAAGTTAAAGAAGCTCACAGGCCAATAGAAAAACTCAAGAGCTTCAGCTTGAATAATGTTGAAAGATATTTTACTCTAATTGTAACCATATTAAGAGAAAATCTTGTATCTCTAAAGCATATACTTACCTAAAATTAAAGTAGGCCAGTTTGCTATCCTTGCCTTCAGTCCTTGATGAAATATTTCATGAAGAAACATGATTGTTTCACTGTAAAAAAATTTAAAAATTACACAATTTAGTCGTGAGTAGAGTCTTTGCCACCCAATGTGGGAAAATCTCTCTTCTTCCTCACAACAGAAAAGCCCAGCTTGTATCTCATGCTATCAGACTTCTACTCATGGCCTCTTTTTTAAAGCCACTCTTCTAACACCTTGAGCTCTTAGCTCCCATCTCACTGTCAGTTTTTCCCCCAACACTGCTTCTGTCATAATTCTTGGTGACTCCAATATGCACACAAATCTTCCAGTATCCTGGCCTCTCGGGCCTTTCAACTTCTCTTCTCCAAGGATCTTATTCCATCTTAAAACACACACACACACACACACACACACACACACACACACACACACATTTTCTGCACTTTTTTATTTACCTCCAGGTACCACCTTGTTTCTCTGCTCTTATTCATATCAACCCTCCTTTGAAAGAGTTTTCTATACCCACTCTCTCCAGTTCCAATCCCCCCATTCTCTCCTTAGTTCTCTCTATCTAATCTGGCTTTGGCCCCTCATCAAAATTACCAATAAGCTCCAAGTTGTTGAATCCAGTCAGTTCTCAGTTATCATTCTACTTGACCTTTTTTGACAGTTATTTATTCTCTCTTGCCTTGGTTTCCAGGGCAACCCATTCTTCTGGTTTTCCTCTTGCAACTCTAATTCATCCTCTTTACTATCATATTATAGCTCCTCTTCATCTTCCTAACCTATAAACGTTGGAATATCCCAGGGCTCAGGCCTTGTTCCTCTTTTCTCAAGCATCTGTGCTCACTCCCTTGGAAATCTCATTCAGACTACAGCTTTAAATACTACCTTTATGCTATTGGGCTCCCAAATTTATATCTCCAGCCCAGCCCCCTACCTTGACTATATTACCCAGACTAATATCTAATCCCTGATCACTTATTTCTCCATTTGGATGGCTAATAGAATCTCATGCTCAACAGGTCCAAGATGAAAACTCTTTACCTTTCTCTTAAATTTGTTCTTGCCTCAATCTCCCCCCAATTAGTAAATTTAAAAAAAAAATTTTTTTAAACGCCACACTTCTAGTTATTCAGGCTAAACACCTTGGAGTCTTATCTGCTTTCTGCTTTCCCTCAAAATCCACATCAAACTCATCAACAAATCTTACTGGCTCTCTGTTAAAAATATATCCAGAATCCAATCATTTATCACTTTCTTCATTACACTTATCTATCAGTTGGATTATCACAATGGCCACCTAACAGGCCTCCCTGCTATAATCGTCTCTCACCTGGCTCATTGAAATAGCCTCCAAACTGATCTGCCTACAGTCTATTCTCAACAGGGAAGCCAGAGTGAGTCTTTCAAAAATAAGTTCAGTCACGCCACTTCCCTGCTCAAAACCCTACCAGTGTCACCCCACCTCACTTAGAGTAAAAGCAAACATCTTTACAATGTCTTACTGTTAATGCTGTAATGTCCCCCTTCATCCACACTGACCTGGGCAGTTTCTCAAACAAGCAAGCCAGGTCTGCTCCAGCCTTAAAACCTTTGCACAGCAGTCCCCTCTGTTTGTATCACTTTCCCCCTGATAGCCACATGGCTTACTTCTTCACCAACTCAAGTCTTTGCTCAAATGTTGACTTACCATTGAGGCCTTTCCAAAGCCTAGCTATATAAACAAACAAACAAACAAACAAACAAGAAAAACAAAACTATGGCACATTCACATAATATAATACCAAATACCAATTAAAAAAAATAGAATGCTCTTTACATATCAATATGGAAAGCTGTCCAGGATACATTGTTAAGTGAAAAAAAAAAAAGTATATATTAAAGTACATTGCCTTTTGTGTAAGAAGGGGGAAAATAAGACTCAAAATCCCTATTTGATTGGATCTATATCAAGAAACACTGGAAGGATATATAAGAAACTAATTTAAATGGTTACATATATAAAGTGGGGAAAATATGGTGGACAGAGACCACATGAGAGTGAGACTTCTAACTATTGTTTGATGTTTTCATGTTGTTTTGACCTTTGAACATGGAAATGTATTATCTACTCAAAAACAAATAAGTAAAATTTGAACTAAAACACGCAAGCACTCTCTTTCCTGCATTATCTCCTTCACTTTATTTTTTCAGCAGCACTCATCATCGCATAATATACTACATATTTCACTTATTCACTATTAATCGTCTGTCTTCCCACATCAAAATTTAAGTTCCATAAAGACAGGGATTTCTTTTTCTTTGTTCACTGATGAATCCTCAGCAGTAAGGACACTATAAATATTTATTGAGTGAATAAATTTACTAGACAGTCTCAGGCCTTCTGTTAGTTTTTGTTCTTTCTAAAGTACTTTTGTATAAATTACATGTAAAGGCCCATTAATCACTCCATTCCCTCAGTTTGTGAGGGAGATGATCTTCCCCAATATACACAAACCCCACCATCACACACACACAATGACAAGAAAACATATGTTAAATTGAGAAGAAAGACAGAGAGCTATATGCCAAGATTCAAGATAAAGATATAAAAATTTGTACTAAACATGAAATACAAATAATTGCTTTCTTATTTTCAATAAGAAAATAAACTTTCTTATTTTCAATATCATAACTCATAAAAGTGTATTTATGATACTTATTCTTTCAAGAGTAAAGTAAAAATTCTTTTTAAGAAATACAAATGGATTTTGCACACAAATTTTTTTTTTCTTTTTTTTTTTTTAGCTGAGCCATCCTGCTACCTATTGGTAGCTTAGCGGCTGCTCAGCTCGGGCTGGCATCAAACCGCTGTTGCTCAGAGCTCAAACTCTTGAGCGAGCTCTTAACCAACTGAGCCACTCGGCCGGCCCTTTTTTTTAACTTTTTGATTTATGCCAAAACAAACCTGTTGAGAAAAATACTGCTGACATCGTCGTGACTGATGGGGGGCTTCTTGGAGCTGGCAGCCATTCGCAGGGGCCGGAGGAAGCCATTGACCAGGATATAGAGCTGGTGAACATACTCCGACTCAGCCTCGACCATGGTGAACACAATCTGGTTTCTCTTCCTCATACTTTCAGCATGAGGAGAACAAATGTAATCCTGTACGATGGTCTTCCATTTCCTTCTGCACAACCATCCTCGCATGAAGCTTTGAACCTATAGAGAAGGAAAAGAACAGCAGGGAGGGAGGAAGAAAAAAGAAAAAGAATCTCAGGGAGCTGTGAGACTGGCTTTCTTAAGACAGTAAGAATGACCACCCTGTGTCATGTAAAACACTGTTCTTTTATTGGTACACTAATGTTCCCACCACAAAATATATAATAGTAAGCTTCTTTCAGATAGCAGAAAAAAGATGATTTAAAAAATATTTCTTTTATCAGGTTCACAAGTTTCTTTCATAAGCTTAAGGTGTTTAGGCCTGCCTACATGGGCACCAGAATATAATAACATCACATACCTAGGTATGTAATACCTAGAAGTTAGAAGTCTCACGTTAGGTATTAACATTTCAAGAAAGGAATAAATTGAAGGTTTATTCTTTAACAATAAAAAAATCAGATATTTACAAAAAAATTTTAGTGGTAATAAAACATATAACAAAATTTACCATCTTAACCATTTTTGGTGTATAGTTCAGTAGTGTTAAGTATTTTCACGTTGTTGTACAACAGATCTGAAGAACTTTTTCATCTTGCACAACTGAAACTCTATACCCATTAAACAACAACTCCCAATTTTCCCCTTCCCTCAGGCCCTGATAACCACCATTCTACTTTCAGTTTCTATGAATTTGACTACTTTAGATAACTCATATAGGTGGAATCATACAGTAGCTGTCTTTTTGTGCAGGGTTAATTTTATTTAGTATAATGTTCTCAAGGTTCATGCATGTAACATGCGCCAAGATTCCCTTCCTTTTTGAGGCTGAATGAAATGCCATTGTACATATGTACCATGGTTATTTTATCTACCTTTCAGTGGACATTTGGGTTACTTCTATCTCTTGGCTATTGTGAATAATGCCGCAATAAACATTGGAGTGGAAATATCTCTTCAAGATCTTGCTTTCAATCCTTTTGGATATATACCCAGAATGGGATAGCCAGATCATATCTTAGTTCTTGTTTTTAAATTTTTGAGGAACCATCATACTGTTTTCCATAGCAGTTGAATCATTTTACAATCTTACCAACAGTACAAAGAATTCCAATTTTTCCACATCTTCATCAATAATTTATTTCTGGGGTTTTTGTTTATTTGTTTGTTTTTTTGACAGTAGCCATCCTAATGAATGTGAAGTGATATCACATTGTGTTTTAATTTGTACTTATGATGCTTAGTGATGTTAAGCATCTTTTCATGTGTATATGATGTCTCCAAAGATTATATACAAATGGCCAATTATATCAACTTTGAAGAAATGTCTATTCAAGTCTTTTACCTATTTCTAAATCAGGTCATTTGACTTTTGTTATTGTTGAATTTCTTTTTAAGTTTATAAAATCAGTGTTAGAGATTAGCTCATCCAACTTCTTCCTTTTATACTCAAGTAAACCAAATTTCATGGTAAATCACAAAGCTAGGAAGGCTGCAACCAGATTTAGTGTTCTTTTACCTGACTTTTGTTAAATGTATGGACCCTCGTTCCCAGTCACATGGGTAAAATACACATTAACAATTAACAGGCAAACCTGACAAAGTGCACTGGCCTGTGTGTTATAGCTAACAAATATTTACTCATCATTGTTTCAATGCCCAGGTAAATGTTGGGTGCTAAACAGACAGGTATATGTCATAATCCTTAACCCAAAGGCTCTGCCACTAACCTGGTGGGTGACCTTAAATTCTGGTCCTCCATTTCCTCATTTATAAAATCATTGACCAAAAAACATCTAAAGTCCTTTATAAATTTAGGAAAGTTGTGATAATTTATTAGGATTTATTATATTTAAGTGGCAGATTCAGCAGCAACAAAGCAGGATGCAAATTCATATATCATTGAAAGCATGAATCACTACCAAATCTTTTTTAGTTATTGTCATTATCTACTCAACACATTCTTACACTTTTTATTTTTTCCATTCTACTTCACCCATGTGGTCTAAATTATCATGTATTTAAACAACTACTCTTCTTTTGAAATTTTAAAATTGTATTATTTACCTACCAATGTTATCAGCATACTATCAATTTTCATAGAGGCATTCATTCATACAGTTGATGTACCCCTCCCTCCCCCAATAAAAATGAACCACATTTTAATAGAATTATGTCTGGAAAATTATATGCATACTTTTTGGAAAAATCTAATGGGAAATTTCTATAAATTATAACAAATCTCAACTTTTGGTCTCTAGAAGTTAAAAAAATTATGTTGATATTTGTCAAGATCAGAATAGAGAAACTAATTCAATTGTAAGCACCCCTTTCCACACAGACATTAGTTTGATTTGAGACAGAAAAAACGGTAGAGTTAATTTCAAAACCTATTTAACAAGTCTAAAAATAGTTTAATTACTCCTATTAAGAAATAGGAAGGTATTAATAGGTGATTTCCAAACAAGATGGCAGAGTAGGTAAATGCTGTGCTTGTTTCCTCTCATGACCACGTTAAAATTACAACCAATAAACTACAGAACAACCATCACTGAGAATTGCCTTAAGAGTAGCTGAACAGAAGTCCTACAACTAAGGACAAGGACATATAGAAGAAGCTACCTCAAGACTGGTAGGAGCAGTTGAGATGTGGAATAGGCTGGTCCCACATCTGCATGTGGCCATTAAAAACCAGGAGGGATATCTCCACTATGGAGTTTCCCCTGCCTCTGCTCCCAGAGGAGTAAAGAGTCCCATCTCCACACCAGGCTCCCCACCCAGGGCTCCAGTGCTGGGAGAGAAGTAACCACAACTTCTGGCTGTGAAAACCAGCAGAGCTTGTGGCTGAGTGAGACAAGGGAGACTGCAGTCCCAGGTGCATGCATGGACTTACTCACTGACAGACTCACTCACTCTGAGCTCCAGCACTGAGACAGCAGCTTGAAAAGTGCCAGGGACATATAGGGAGGAACTGAATTGTCTAGCTTCAGGGTGAGAGTTAGAGGGGCAGCTTTCCCCAGACATAAGTACTGATAGAATCTATTATTGCTCTGTTGAGTCCTCCCCTATCCTGGAGTGCAGGCACAGGCAGCCATCATATCAGAGTCTCCAACAACCTGGCTAACACTGTTCACCCTGCCCTGGGGATTCCCTGAGACCCCACTCCCACCCAGCTTGCAAACCCATCCATGTAGTTTCCAGCGGCTTTTCCAAACTAAAAGCCTGTCTTGGCGCATGCTGTGGACTTTCCTAACATCTCTCAAAGGTTCACAAAACTCAAACAAGCAGCATCTGGTCTCAGCGTGCCCTGTACCTCATGCTGAGCAGTCCTAGGCCTGGCACCAGTGTCAGCCAGCCTCAGTCTGTGGCTGGCCTCTCCCAGACACCTCCAAGCCCAGAGCGGGTGACTATCACCTACAGATTGCTTTGTGGCTCATGTCGGGTGGCCGTGGGCAGGTCACAGGCTGTGCTGAACTTGGCCTGGGTAGAGTTGCTCCCCAAGGAGACTCCAGGGCTGGAGCTGGAGCACCACCCAGCTGTCTCCACAGACAACACACCCAAAGGAAAGACTAGGCAGGCAGCAGAGCCCTGCTAAAGCAAACCCTGCTCCATAGGGTCAGTCCTTGCACAACAGCTCCTCCACTGTTGTCACATTGGGTCCTGTCCTTATAACTAATCAGCCTGAAGGCTAATCCCTCCTATTGACATGCAGAAAGGAACCAAGGCTCAACTACAACAGGAGGGCACACACAACCCACACAAAGACACACCTGCAGCACCTGGCTCAAGTGACCAGGAAGAATGTGCCACTGAGCCCCACAGGATACCTACTGCATAATGTCACTCTACTAAGACCAGGAGACATAGCAGTTCTACCTAATATATAGAAACAAACACAGGGATGCAGCCAAAATGAGGAGAAAAAGAAACACGTCCCAAATGACAGAACAGAGCAAAGCTCCAGAAAATGAACTAAACAAAATAGAAACAAGCAATCTATCAGTTGCAGAGTTAAAAACACTGGTTATAAGGATGCTTAATGAATTTCAGGAAAGAATAGATGAACTCAATGAGAACATTAACAATACGATAAAAAATATAAAAATAAAGATAGAAAACATGAAATAGAACCCATTAGAATTGAAGAATATAATAACTGACATAAAAAATGCACTAGAAGAAATCAACAGCAGACTAGATGAAGCAGAGGATCAAATCAGCAATTTGAAAGATAAGGTAGCAGAAAACACCTAATCAGAAGAGCAAAGAGAAAAAAGAATCCAAAAAATGAGGATAGCTTAAGAGGCCTCTGAGACAACATCAAGCATATTAATATTTGTATCATAGGGGTACCAGAAGGAGAAGAGACAGAGCAAGGAATTGAAAACCTATTTGAAGAAATATGACAGAAGTCTTCCCTAACCTGGCAAAGGAAACAGACAGATAAGACTAGGAAGTGCACAGAGTCCCAGACAAGATGAACCGAAAGAGGCCCACACAAAGACACACTATAATTAAAATACCAGAGTTTAGAGACAAAGAGAGAATCTAAGAAGCAGCAAGAGAAAAGCAGTTAGTTATCTACAAGGGAACTCCCATAAGATTGTCAGCTGATTTCTCAACAGAAACTTTGCAAGACAAAAGGGACTAGCAGGAAATATTCAAAGTGATGAAAAGCAAGGACCCACAACCAAGATTACTCTACCCAGCAAAGCTAGCATTTAGAATCAAAGGACAGATTAAAGAGCTTTCCAGAAAAGTAAAAGCTAAAGGAGTTCATTAATACCAAACCAGTATTATAAGAAATGTTGTAGGAACTTCTTTAAGAAGAAAACAAAGAAGATAAAAAAACATGAATAATAAATTGGCAATAACTACATATCTATCAACAATTACTTTAATGTAAATAGAGTAAAAGGTCCAACCAACAGATAGGGTGGCTGAATGGATAAGAAAACAAGACCCTTATATTGTATATATGCTGCCTATAAGAGACTCATTTCAGATCGAAAGACACACATAGATTGAAAGTAAAAGAATGAAAAAAAATAGTTCATGAAAATAAGAAAAGGGCTGGGATAGCCACACTTACACCAGACAAAATAGGCTTTTTTTTTAAATTTTTTATTGTTAGTTTCAGGTGTACAGAACAATGCAATAGTTATCCTTTTCACCCTTCACAAAGTAACAAACCCCCTCTTCCCCTCTATTGCCCTCCTCCCCAATATCATGCTTATCTATTACAATTCCATTGACTCCATTCCCACTCTCTACTCCATGTCCCGAGACTATATGTATATATAATTATAGTTGACATACATTATTACTCAACATCAGCTTCAGAAATACAGTGTGGTGGTCAGGCCTCTACACTGACTATGAAGTGGTCTCCCCAACAGGACATGAGGCCATCTGGCCCCCTAAGAAATATTTACATTATTGATTATATTCCTCAGACTGTCTTTTTCTATCCCTGAGGCCATATTGTAATTACCAATTTGTATTGTCTCATCCCTTCCCCTTCTCCTTCATCCCCACCCCCTCCCAACTAACAACCCTCAGTTCTTCCTCTCTGTCTCTGAGACTATCTCCATCCACTTCTACCATCCATTCAGTTCCTTAGAATCCACATATAAGTGAGATCATATGATACAGACAAAATAGACTTTAAAACAAAGGCTATAACAAGAGACAAAGAAAGACCCAGTAATCTCTCTTCTGGGTATTTATCCAAAGAAACCTAAAATGCTACTTCAAGGGGACTTGTGTATCCATATGTTCATTGCATCATTGTTTACAACGGCCAAGATGTGGAAGCAGCCTGGGTGTCCGTCGATGGTTGTTGGTGGTACATGTATACAGTGGAATATTGCTCAGCCATGGAAGGGAATGGGTTCTTGCCATCTATGGAGGTATGGTTGGACCTGAAGGGTATCGTGCTGAGTGAAGTATGTCAGAAAGATAAAAACAGATCCAATGTGATTTCACTTATATGTGGAATCTAAAGAACAAAATAAACAACCAAACAAAACAGAAACACACGCATAGATACAGAGAACATTTTGATGGTTGTCAGCTGGGAGGGGGGGTTAAGGGTGGGTGAAAAAGGGGAAGGCATTAAAAAAGTACAAATTGGTTGTTAGAAAATAGTCATGGGGATGTAAAGTATAGCATTAGGAATACAGTCAATAATATTGTAATAACTATGTATAGTGTCAGATGGGTACTAGATTTATCAGGGTGATCACTTCATAAGTTATATAAATGTCTAATTACTATGTTGTACACCTGAAATTAATATAGCATTGTATGTCAACTGTAATTGAAAAATAAAACAAAAAAGAAATGGGAAGGTAGAAAATGTAATAATTTATCATTATTCTTCCATTAAATAGAAGTATTTTCAAAAATCAACTTAATTGAATTTTGTGATAAACAAAGCCTTTCTATTTACTTGGAGAAATGTTGCCTGCTGAGCAAAAGCTGGTTCACTCACTTCGTAACAGACCAGTTTCTACAATTGGACTGAAAATTGTATTTGACTGATAACATGTTGTATCTGACAATTGTATTTAGCTGATAATATTTGACTGCTAGTATGTGTTACATGCAACTATATACTATTAAAAGAAAGGCAACAGTACTAATCTTGTAACGTAATAACATAAACCAAATTCAATTTTTAAAGTTTTAAATTCTAAGAAAGCAATAATGTTATTTTACTTTTTTATTTCTTAGAAACTGAAAACATTGCAACTTAGTCCTAAGAAGCATTTCTATTTCAAATTTTGAGCAATATTTGGTTAAAGTTTTGTTACAACTGAAGGGGGGTAATTATTTAGCATAGAAACGCATGATTACAAAAGACAATTAAGACCAAATTAAGACTCAAAAATGTGTATCCAAGAAAAGTTCTTCAACAGTGAAGCTTTTCACATAATGTTAACAAAGTTGAGTAAGTGCTTTACACAGGACAATTAACATTATGGAACTCAAAACCCAGATGAGATAAAGCAAACACAGACTAGACTGAGTGCCAGTGTCTAGCTAATTGCAAAAGCTGTACAGTTATAAATAACAGTAAGATGGAAAGATCTGCTGACTATGTAGATGTTAAACAAGAAAGAAACAATACTAAACCAGAAATCTGAGCAGATGTGGTGATTTACCCAATCTTCTCACATGTTTAAAAGAAACAAAACAAAACAAAACAAAAAAACTTTCATTAAAAAAGCACCAAAGACTATAGCTAAAAGAAATATTTTTGAAATGTAATTAAAAAAAAAAGTACTCCCCAAAATATGAAAGCAGCCCAAAATCAGGAATTTAAACAGCACCAAATTAACCCAACTGGAGAACGCTGTTATCTTAATGTGCTGTTCGGGCATCCTTCCCAACCGAGAGTCCAAAAGGGGATTCCCAGAACTGGAAAGAAATCTCAAGCTGAAATTTTTCCAGAGAAGTAGCCCTATTTGGCAAGTCTGGGAGCCATTAGAATAGAAACACCAAGGTTGTTCTCAGCTGAGGACAGGGTGGCAAAGACATTATTACAGAACAGACAACTGCTTGTCGTAAAATCCCCGGAAACCCCCAGCACCCTACCTTTTTAATCTTCTTGATGTCTGGATCCTCATCCTCTTGATTGCTTTGGTAAGGCCGCATTCGTTCCTTGGTTTTATTAAGAGCAATAATCTATATAACACAAAAGAGGTCCATTTTGTGACTTAGAAAATACTGGATTATAGCTATAACCCATTGGAAGTTATCCCTACAAGGTCACTTACAAGACCCTCAGGAAACATTCACTTTTTATGCACTCTCTCTGCCTTTGGTGCCGAGGCAGGGAAAACGTGACCTTCACCCCAAGCCTGTTTTGTCACTAACGAAAGTGCTTATAAGAAGTGACTGTGGAAAGGATGAACTGGGATTTGGGTTAGGAGAAATGTTTGCCCAAAACTCAGCCCTGACTGCGAGTGATGACAAGGCCAAGGCCTTCTCAGGAGCTGAGTGCCATGCCAACCATCTTGCCCAAAGGCAGCTGCCTGTAATGCCCTGTGGTCTCTAAATGCAATGACACTCAGCTCAAAACTCTTGCTTCCTCTGCAAGAATAATTAGCCAGTGGCCTTCCAAGTACACACAGGACAGCAGGCTCACAGATCTCCTTGGGAAAATGGTAACTGCAAAGGGAACTTCACAGCCCTGGGTTGGTCTCAGTCAGCCAAGAAAAGGAAAAGGAGGTAGAAAGGAATTGAAACAACCTAGAATCTCTTTATATCTCCAGCTCAGTTCTGTGACCTGTGAGGGGCAACTCAAGACCAGCTGGCCTCTCAACTGCCCTTAGGAATAAAATTCACTGGAGTGCCACTCAACTGCAGCCTCTTACAACTGTAAGAACCTATACAGATTTACTAACAAGCAAACACTTACACAGTTAAGAAATCTTAATTGCCCCCCTCTGATATGTCTTTAAACTTTAACCCCAATACCAAATACACATATCTGCCATTTTCTGGCAGGGAAGTGGGAAAATAAAAGGAGTAGAAAATTATGACTCCTGTCAAGCAACTACACAAGACATACCTGCTATTGACAGTTTTTAACTGCAATCTATGTTCAGACTAAAATAGGACACAGTGAAGACAGATATAAGCACACGCAAATAAATATTGGAGAACATCACCCAATGCTGTTTCTTTCATGGAATAAATGCCAACCTCTTTCACTGAGGAGACAGCATCTGCTCTAGCTTACTGTGGCAAAGAAAAAACACAATAATTTTGTTTTAAATTACAGTGCCTGATATAGTCTTTTAAAATGCAGGTTTGTTAAGTTTTCTGTTGTTGTTTGCACTATCTCAGATTTCAGGGTTGCATTGGGAAGTTAACAGCACTAATGATATGGTGAACACGGTGTCCTATTTATTATCACCAGAGAAACAAGCAGATCCCAGATGGAACCAGCTTCTCCTCAGGCTCTGTACACTGGAGGTGATGGACACAGGCGGCAGGAGGTAAGAACTCCTCACAGAATGCACAGTGTACGTCTTAGAGGAAGCTATGAGGAAATGAAGAAGAAAACATTGTCGAATGACAGGAAAGTGATGAGAAACTTATCACGGCTGAGGAGGCTGAATTGTTTCTGCCAACAAGGATACAATTAGTAGTAGTTTCTTCATTCATCCTAGTCTTCTCTTTGAAGCTAACAAGATTCTCATGACATTGCTAACCAGAAAGGAGGGGGGACTTCATTTTCTACATTCTTCTTCAATGCTTCAGTTATTGATTGCTTCCCATGAGAAATGACAATATAGCAATAAATATGTATATATATTGACAACTAAGGGAAGACCAAAAATGAATTTAGAGTGACTTTACTTTTTCTAGATCTAAGGAGTCCAACCATCTCTAGTGTGATCACAAAATACAGTGAATGTTTAAATAAAAAACAATTATTATAGTAAAAGACACATTGCCATTAATCCCCCTCAAAATATTCCCCCTCACTTGAATCACATTTATCCCATCGTTCTTGCCACTTTCTGAAGCAGTTCTGGAAGTTCTCTTCCATGAGTATGTTTAGTTGCGCTGTCATGGCTGCCTCGATGTCCTAAATAAATTCCAAACATTTACCTTTCATGGTCATTTTGACTTTAGGAAGCAGCCAGAAGTCACACGGTGCCTGATCTGGTGAATAAGGTGGATGAGGACACACCATAATGTTTTTATTTGACAGAAATTGCCGTACCAGAAGTGATGTGTGACACGGAGTGTTGTCATGATGGAGGATGAAGTAAAGACATGAAAGAGGACTTCCAGAACTGCTTTAGAAAGTAGCAAGAATGATGGGATAAGTGTGTTTGAAGCAAAAGGGAGTACTTTGAGGGGGATTAATGGCAATGTATCTTTTACTGTAATTAATTTTTTTTATTTAAACATTCACATGTATTTTTTTTATTTACATATTTACCCTTTTATATACCTTTCTGTATATGAACAGAGACACCTCGGAGAGAGGGAGGACCCAGGCACACCCCCATGGCTGCAGACTCCTTCTGCTCTCCCTTGGCGTCAATCTCACTAATTGGGGGTACAAGGCCTGAGAAGTTCACACTGAGCGGGTTGCGGGGAGAAGTGGAAGGAAACAGGTATTCCAACTTCAGGAAAAAATGCACCCTAGCAAATGTTTTATACTTTAACTCAAAAGTATTTTTCCAAATTCTAGAGGAGAGATGGTTGGACTCCTTAGATCTAGAAATAGTAAAGTCATTCTAAATTCATTTTTGATCTTCCCTTAGTTGTCATTCAGACTTTAACTGAATCTATGACAGACTTACAATTACCATTACTACTAGAGTCAGTCTGGAAATAGTTAAATATTATAGTCAACTCTTGACTATCTGATCAAATGAAGGCCATCAAAAGCATAACTAATTTAAAAATAGCCAATAATCTTGATGTTTTTTTGAAGCATATTTACCTAATCCCAACATAGACATTAGATTCATTTCTAATACAGATCACTAGCCTGGCCATGTATGTGTTGATGGCAGAAGAACTAAGTTTGGGATTAAAATTTTGCCTTGATATGTAATCACGACGACATGACAATAAACATGAAACAATGAGAAAGAATTCACCAAATGGGAAATACCTCTGATTTAAGCCTTTCAATTTCTGTATCTTGATCTTCAAGTTGATGCCGTAGTTGGTTAGCTGCAATTTTTTCTGTCTCTACGATCTGAACTAGATGAATGTACTTCTGCATTAATACTTCCCTCTCAATCAAAATGTCTGCATAGCTTGAAAGAAAATTACAGTTAGTCATTGAGATATTGTTCTACTACAGTTCCATATAGAAAAGCACACACTACATTTTTAAAAGAAGCCATAAACATAGTTTGTTTGGCTAACATTATGTAAAATTTAACTTTTGGCTTACATTTGGCAACCTTTAACTATATAGAATTTGAATCATTATATTTTTACATATTTTTTTACTTAGAGTTCATTTAATGATGGCTGCCGCCCACACTTTTATCACATGAGAAAAGTGCAAAGGGACTCTATTGTTTTACAAAGAAAATAGTAAATCTTCTTTTAACAAAGAAACTGAAGTCAAAATAGTACATTTTCTTTTAACCAAGAAACTGAAGTCTTCGAATTGATGGTACATCTTTAACTTTCATGGATGATATTCAAAACATTCCACCAGTTAAGGCACTAGCCAATCAGAACAGACTTGCCACCAAGCAGACTAAATGCAGCGACCATCATAACAGGCACTGGCTGGAAAGAACTACGACAACAGGACCAGCAACCACCAGCCCTGCTTGGCTCTATTTACGATTGTGAGACCACTGACTACCCTTGTACTTTCTCTCCAAAATCAAGAGAAGCAAAAATTTTATTCTGCAAAAAAAGTGTAGATTCTTTGGGCCCTAACTCCAGCAATCTAACCTGTGTCCATTTCTTTGACCAAATATAGTAATGGCAAACTCCCTTAGATTTTTATTGATTATGCTATTGTGAGGCATCTAAAATTTTATCTACAGATCTTCTTGTGTTATTCGGAGTAGTAAAATGTATGTTCCTCCATTCACGTAATCTTTCCCAAATGATATGTTAATAGGAATAACTAACAATAGCTTCTATTTATTGAGTATATAGGATGTACCATATACACAAGTATTCTCATTTCATCCTCCCAGCAACCCGAGAGGATAGGTTTTATCATCTCAGTTGTACAGAGAAAGAATTTGATCCTCACCGAGGTCACACAGCTAATAGGTGGCATTCAAATAGTCTGGGATTCAAATCAAGGTCTGTCTGACCCTAAGACCATGTTCTTAACCACAAGCTAAACTGTCTCTGTAATGAGAAATAGCACACTGGATATAAATAAGAATATTGCAGCAAACAAGTTTTAAGATATCTGCCCAATCTCCCATAATTACTTCTTCTTTGGGAATGTAAGCCCTGGCAGCCATGTTTGCACCATAAAGCCTGCCCTCATGACTACATTAAACTGGTCTAAAAAGAGATAACTGGCCCAAGCTAAACCAATTAGATTCTTTCTCCTTGGAATCAGACTGTGCCTCTGACCTATTTGCTTGAACAGAGATGATATGAACTTCGAAACTCAGATTGCCATGGTTGGGCAGCCATATTTGGCCACCTCCATGCCAAAACAAAGTGAGTTTGCTGAGAGAGAAAAGAATAGCAGATGTTCAGAAAAGCAGGAATAGGGCCGGCCGAATGGCTCAGTTGGTTAAGAGCTCGCTCAAGAGTTTGAGCTCTGAGCAACAGCGGTTCGAGGCCAGCCCGAGCTGAGCAGCCGCTAAGCTGCCAATAGGTAGCAGGATGGCTCAGCTAAAAAAAAAAAAAAAAAGCAGGAATAAGAGAGACAGAAAGTCTGAAAGAGAAAAGTAATCACTACCTGGGTTTCTGTCAGCTTTCTAGTTTCTGGTTCCAGACCTTCATGACATCTGAATATAATTTTTACCCTTAGGTTCAGTGAGATATTGCAGTTTCCATCTAATAAATCCTCTTTTTAACCTAAACTAATTTGAAAGAGGTTTGTGTTAGTTGGAACTAAAATTGTCTTAAGACAATTCTAAAATCATAATTTTAGTTCAATTTTCTCAACATCCTAAGCACTTACATTATGTGTGCTATTATTCTTAGGAAAAAAAGTAGTGTCAGCAATATTTTTAAGTCACTTTATCTAAGAAATTACCCTAAGAGAATAGAAAGAAAAGCTGTGTACGTATAAGTGAGAAAAAGGAAAAAGAAGAAGAAAAAAAAAAGCATAGTTTTCAGCAGAACTTTTAAAGGAGGAAGTAATAATAAAGCATGAGAAAAATAGTCACATAATAAAATTCTGCCTTTTCTCATAAATTTCATTAGAAACATGCAAAATTTAATGTAAATATATTAGATCAGCATTAGGTAGCAAAACAGTGTTTTGTTTTCTCTTATAAAAAGAAAAAGTCTGGTTCAGGATGTGTGGCTGAGTTCATACAGACTTGTCACTGACATCAGGCTCCCTTGAATTCCAAGGTACCATTGAAATGCTATGAAAATTGTTTTCTATGTGAAGAATGAAACCATACCAGCATTATAAAACAGAAAAATATGTCATCAACAGACCATAACTTTTATGAAATTCCATGAAGAGAAAAAGTAAGTAGAACCAGAGTGGTGGGAAGAGTAGAGAAAACCACACATATGCAGACACCTTGCATATAAGCATGGTTCCCACCAAGAGTGGCCAGAGAAGCTCCAAACTCAGAATCTACAAATACAAAGAACAGGAATAGGCAAGGGGGCGATCGTTAGGCATTTCATTAAAGTGCTTTCAGAACATCTGGAAGTTAGGCTCTTCCTCTTCCCAATACCCAAACTAAAGAAATAAAAGGCACAACTGGCAATGGCAATATGCCCTCAAATCACAGCCCGAGCTCTGCTCTCTGTAGAAAGGGGCCTTCTTCCTAAAGAAGGCTCCCAACAAGGAAGCTGGATTCAGAGAGAACAGAGCCTGGCTTTACTCCAGCCATCCACTGTAGACACAAGGGCAAACCAAAAAGGGAAAGGTACTGAGAAGGATTAGGAGGAAAATATACTGCATTAGTTTTCTACTGTGTAAAAACTTACCACCAACTTAATAGTTTAAAACACATATGTATTATTTCATAGTTTCCATGAGTCAGGAGTCCAGGCTCAGTTTAGCTGGATTCTCAGGGTCTCACAAGGCTGCGATCAAGATGTCAGCCAAGGTACATTCTCATCTGGAGGCTTAAACAGGGAAGAATCCACTTCCAAGTTTATTCAGGTTGGTGGAAAAATTCATTTTCTTGCAGCTATAGATAGAACTCATGCAGTTTGCTGCTTCTTCAGGGAAGGTCCTAGTCCTTCTTTAAGGGCTTTCATTTGATTAAGTCAGACCCATAAGCTGTAATTACACCTGCAAAATCTTTTCTGTTGTCATATAATGTAACTGAATCAAGGGAGAGACTATCCCATCATGTTTGCCATATACTAGTGGCTGGTAGCAAGTCACAGGTTCCACCCCTGCATACTAAAGGGTTTAGAATCATACAACGTGGTGTCCCAGCCTGCCTTCCTGCTATCTGCCCACATATCCAAAAAGGAAGCCTACATATGTGGCACAGACCCTACATTCACAGTCACAGAGTAAACCCAGGTCAGCTACCTGTAATAACCCACAAGGTCCTTCATTATAACAAAGATCACTAGACACTTGAGAAAAGAAACCCCCCAAAAGAAAGCCCTCTTCAGTAGGTAGCACCTAAGACAGCCTGTAGTGATCCCTGCCTTCTGTTGGTATTCATGTCCTTATGTCATCCCATCCTCTTGAGTGTGAGCTGGACCTATATGACTCACTTCTAAAGAATACAATACAGCAAAAGTTACAGCACAAGTGATGGGATGGCACTTCCAAGATTAGTTTACAGGAAGACTCTAGTTTCTCTCTTGCTTGCCTTCTTTTGCTACTGTCTTGTTGATTTTCTCTGAGAGAAGCCAGTGCTATGTTGTAAGCTGCTCTGTGGAGAGGTTCGCATCATCAGAAACTGACAGAGACCCCAGCCAACAGCTGAGGAACTGAGGCCTCAAGCCAATGACTGATAAGGAAAAATGAATCTAGCCAACAACCACATAAGTGAACTTGGAAGTGGATCCTCCCCTAGTTAAGCCTTCAGATAAGACTGCAGACCTGGCTGACACTTTGATTGTTTCCTTGTGAGAGATCTTCCCGCAGAGTCACCCAGCTCAATTGTCCCTAGACTCCTGATTCACAGAAACTGTAGGGAGACAATAAATTGTTTATTGTTTTAAGCATTGTGGATTAAATTGCTAAGCAGAAATATATAATACATACAGCCCCAAGTGAACAAATAGAAAGATACTAGAGGAAATAAGGCTAATTCAGGCAACAGAGACTTACTATCTTCAGAGAGGTACAGAACGATATCAGAGCCATAAGGCAAAAAGGGACTTCCATGGAAAAGAAGTAATCAGGTAACAAGAAGAGTCCTTGGCAACAAAAAAAAATTGATTATTAAAGTTTTACATGTCAATGAATGTGCTAATCAATAAACCAGACATGACTGAAAAACTAAGCTAGGTGATTGGAAAGATAAAGAACACTGAACAAAAATACAAAGATATTGGAAATACAAAAGAAATGCTGAGCAACATGGAGTATAGATCCAAGAGGTCTAACATTCATCTTTTTTCCAGAAGGGAGGAAAAACAAAACAAAAACCATAGGCTGTGATGAGGAAGAAATAATCAAGAAATGAAAGAAACTTGTCCTGAATTGATCACAGCACAATTCAAATAGAAAAGATAATCCACATGCCAGACAGGATAAATGAAAACAACCACAGGTTACCTAACGAAAGTGAGAATCAAGCTGACGTGCTTCTCAATCAGTAACCTGGGACGCTAAAGGACAATAGAGAATTAAAGGAAAAATATTTTAAACTTAAATTTCTACCCCAGGCAACCAATCAACTTGTCAAGAGCCAGTTCCAAACAAAAAACAGTTTACTAACCTCCACACATACTACAGGAGAAAAGTTATGAGGAGCTTTTCCAACCAAACAAAACAGAAAACAAAGACATAACATGATATGGAATGCAAGACTACAAGCTAGGTGGAGCCAAGGAAGCCAAAAGAAATTAGAAGTTAACACAAACACACATGAGATTCTCTTTTTTTAATTGCATATAAACACCCTTCATTTTTCACAGAGCCAAACACCAACCTTGATAT